AATAATAATAATAATAATAATAATAATAATGAATTTAATTTTACCGCACTTTTCATTAACAAAAAACAAAAAAGTGCTACAAAAAAATATAAATAAAAAATACTCTGGCTAAATCGGCTAACACCTTTAGCCTTKAAGTTAGCATTTTACTTTGTAGTTAGTCTTTTGCTACTTTTAGCTTTCAAATAGATTTTTTTACTTTAGGTTTTAAGCTAAACCTTTGCTGCTTTTAGCTAAAGTTTTATTTTTAGCTTTTAGCTAGCCTTTTGCTATTTTTAGCTTTTAGATGGTGTTTTGCTTTCAGCTAAAGTTCACTTCTTTTAACTTTAGTTTCAGCTTCTGTTTCTAATTTTTTGCCCCCCTGAGCGCTCAGGGGTCTCATAAAGTCCAGGTCCTGGAGCTGGACTTGTTTCTCTGTGGGGTTTTGAGAAAACCTGACGGCCAAAAAAACAAAGTGGGTAAAAAGAGGAGTTCTTACTTCTTCTGTCCGATCTGGGTGCCCCTCGCGGCACAYGAGTAGTTGCTGATCTTCTCTCTGAAGTCGATGGCCATGGAGATGTCGCAGTCATCCACGGCCACCACCGCCACCTTTTCTGCAGAGGGTCCGTGAGGGACGCCAAGACGGCCGATGTTAGGCTGGAAAACACAAAACAAGACAACAGGTTTTGATGTGCCATTGTATCTCAGCTAGAGCTTTACAAAACAACAGGATAATTACTGCATCGGGGTTTGTAGCTGAAAAAAAACTGATTGGAGAAAATGCTTTAATGAAAAAAAGTCCAAAGAATCACTTTAAGTTTCCAAAATCCTGAAAACAAAGTTTAAGAATGCAGTTTTTAACAACGAGGCTTAAAAACTTTCAACAAAGTCTGACCACTACTGCTCTCCCCTGAAATAGTTATAATTCCTTAGAAAATAAATAAATAACAGAAGAAAAAATCTCAGATTTTCTCACTTTGTTGTGTTTATATTATGAACCTGGGCTGATTAAGTTTGGACTTAAAGAGTTTTTAAACTGCTACATTAGCGCGCCAAAATATTTTTGTTTTCAGCTCARTTTTCAATTTTGTGGCATCTGCAGGTGAAGTAAAAGAGGCGCAATGGTAAAAGAGACAAGAAGCACAAACAGGGAAATCTGCTCCCAAAAACTGGATTAGAGTAATGAGATACTGGTGGGGCTGTGACGCCGCAAACAAAAGAAGAAAAGAACGAGAGACGAAACAAGGAACTGACCAGGAGAAGAAAAAAAACACAACAAAAAGAAAACGGCAAACAGGAAGAGTCGAGAGTTTGTTATCTTCTGTTTTGGCACATTCGGGCATAGTTTCTGACTCCACGGGGAGTTTCGTGCCACTCCTTTTAACCAACCTTATTTCCACCTATTTTACAAAAGAAAAATATTCCACACTTTCCTCCAGACAAACAGGAAGTGTGACACCTCAGCTGCTTCCTGTCTCTTTTGCATTTAATCTCATTAAACGGCCCTTGAACATCATTACCTCCTGTGTCGGAGTCACCAAAGCAGAACCAGGCTGAACAGCTGAGCACTGACAAATAAAAGTGCTTCATGCTTCGGTAAATAAAAAGCAGCAGGAAAAAGAGCCAGTGTTTTGTTTTTTCTTTATTCTATTTATAAAACCTGGCAGTTTTTGTGTTAGGGGTGATGATTAATAATTCAGTTACATCGAGGATATCCAGAAATATCATATTGTCATCCTAACAAGTCGATATATCGTATCATGATAAATCTGGTGATTTAAACCCCTAATTTTTTTGTGAATGCTGAGTAAGTGTTTATTGATTTTGGTCGTTGTTATGTTCAATTAGGCCTGGGCGATAAACCGAAAAATAACCGATCCCGACATTTATGACAATAACCGACGTAATTTTGCCCAAGTTGTTATTTTCGGTATTTAAAAAAATGAGGAAAAGAGAAACCTGCTTGTTTTCTGTTG